GTGCCTGTAGGATATGGTCCACCACCGCCTCCTGTCCCCGTGGGATAGGATCCAGCATCGCCTACAGTGCCCTTAGGGAGTGTTCCACCACCGCCTCCTGTGCCTGTAAGGTACGCTCCACCACCACCTCCTGTGCCCGTAGGATATGTTCCACCCCCGCTTCCTGTGCCCGTAGGGTATGGTACACCACCGCCTGCTGTGCCTGTAGGATATGTTCCACCAGCGCCTCCTGTGCCTGTAGGGTAATGTCCACTATCGCCTCCTGTCCCAGTGGGATGTGGTCCACCACCGCCTCCTGTGCCTGTAGGATATGTTCCACCACTGCCTCCTGTGCCCGTAGGATATGGTCCAGCTCCACCTCCTGTGCCTGTAGCATATTGACTACCACCGCTTCCAGTTCCCGTAGGATAAAGTACATTGGCACCACCGCTTGTCCAGGCATTAGGCCGGTTTCCACTGATTCCCAATGCTCCGGGACTCCAGGGATATGATCCACCACCTTCTTGAGATCCTGGAATGTTTGGACCAACTACACAACAAAAATACGTGGCACCATTTGGCAAAAGTGGGTACATTGGCCAGTTTGAACCAAAGGGATTGAATCCAATTCCCTCTTGAGGTGTAGTTATTCTGTCTCCACTACCTTGGTTTCCTTGAGGCTTGGTTGACCCACCCCCACGTCCTGATTCTTGTTGAGGCGAGGTGAGAAAACTACTTCCGCCTTGAGACGGAGTCAATCCAGTTTCTGCTCCTGATCCACTTTGAGGTGAAATGAGACCGCCTCCACCACCGTTTCCTTCACTTGGTCTACCTTGTGGTGAATAAACTCCACCACCCATTGGTCTCCCTTGAGGAGAAGGAAATCCGCCTTCGCCACCTGGCCCTTCTTGAGATGAAGTTAATCCATTTCCAACACGGTGTCCTTCTTGAGGTGATGTGAATCCACCTCCTGCGCCAGAGCCTCCTTGAGTTGGAACAAAGCCACCACCACGAGGACCGCCGAGTGATGAAGTGAAGCCATTACCTTCACTTGGCCCCCCTTGAGGTGAAATAAATTCACGTCCGCCGCCGTTTCCCATTTGTGGTGAAGTAAATGTATTTTCTCCGTTTGGCCTACCACCATTCGGGCTGGTTGGTAGTGAAGAATATCCGCCGCCACCATGCCCTCTTGGTGGTAAAGTTAATCCACTTCCGCCTTCGTGCCCTACTTGTGGTGAAGTAACGCCATCTCCTCCACCAGGACCACCTGTTGGTGATGTAAACCCACGACCGTCACCCCCGTGCCCCCCTTGGGGTGTAATAAATCCACCTCCGACTGAACCCCCTTGAGGGGAAATGAACCCACCACCTTGACCTCCCGGATGTGAAGTTAGTCCACCAGTATTCCACTGATTCGGTACTCGGACTTGTCCATTTCCTGTTGGTCGTACTAAATTTCCTACTCCATTATCGCCCCGTCCATAACATTCGTCGCAGCTGGGATCATACATAGATTGACTTTGTGCCTGACCCATGCCGCTACTCCCACCTAGAACATTGACAGGATAATTTTAACACATGTCATTTTACTGTGAGCGATTAGTTACGGCTTGATACTTTGTACTTACTAACGCTCGCTCGTGAGGAATCCACATCTGAATGAGCTTCTGCCTTGCCATCGTCTTTACCATTTTCATGATTTATGGCCAAATATTGCGACTGTGTCTGACCTCTGTAACGCCCTCGGTATGCGCGCTTTTTTCGACTCGTGAGTGGATGTCCTCGCAGAACCACGTATTTATTACATCGTAATGTCATAACATCGTCGTTAGTAGTTAAAGATTGTACCTGTTACAACATAGTAGTAAGCAAACAATATCATACATTAATTAGAATTAGATCGCCTTGACACATAAAAAAGATTTCATTGTCCCAATTACGATAATGTTAATTGTGCAACCAAATAGGCCAAGGAAAGGTATCGACCTTGATAAAAATAAGATATCATGAATTAAAAATAACATAAACATCTTTCCGCAAGCGATTTAGATGTTGTAAGTTACAAATGAAACTAAAGAGCAATAAGTAAATGGACATACTATGCTAAACAACCATAGCAATTACCTGCTCTCAAACTATAGAATTCCCTGTAATACGAGTACTACAACAACGGGATTCACTACCCGGAACTTTCAGATAAGCACCAATTTAGAATATTCATTTTTCAGATTGGTCCTACTAGGAATCGAACCCGGGACCTCCTCATTCAGCGCTCACAGTATTTGCACGCTTTGGCGTTGAGCCACTGAGATCGTCAAAATAATAATAATTCCATTCATACGTGTAGCTACTGTAAACTGTTACTAACTGATATTAGTAAAGTCTTATTTACAACTATTAGTGAACAAAAAATAATTTATATGGAGAAATGGATTTCGATAGCCTGGGTCATATAAGTATATAAATAAGATGATTATGTAATTAGAAATCGCGCATAATTAGAAATAGCGTATCTTAATATTAACTTGTACATGATTGACATGTCACTTTGCATAGCTTTGTGATTATTAATCGAATTCGCTTAGCGATACACTACCTAAATAACTTAGAAAAAATACATAAAATTTACCTTAATTTCTTTATGAGGAACAGGATTGAATTTGCTTAACCCACAGCCCTGCGCAATGTTAACACCGTTTCGATATATTTGCCGTAAAATTACTACAACCTCATCAGGATCAACTTCTTTTGTTTTACATAATTCTTGCGTGGGTGCCTTGCACACAATATATACCTGGGAATCATAACACATGCTTTTTGTACTTAAAATTACACAAATATTGAAAGATTTATGTTCTCAAAATGCATTCATAACCAATGTCCACTAGCACATCAAATTTTTTAAAGTTACGGTATTTCAGGGGTTGTCAATATATTATGTAGTATGGGTCAATTGTAGAAATATTAAAGTTGTAATAAGTGTTCATAAAGTCATCGTAGTTGTTGAAATCTTACTTGCGTTGTCGGGAGGGTGAATGCAAATGTAGACGTAGCGGTCAATAATGCAATAACTACGATTACAGGTAGTACAGGTGCAGGCCGCGACGGGCAGGGATGCGCGCGCGCTGGACACATGCCGATGCGGTGTCGGTGGTGAGCGGGGACGCTCTGCCGACCAGTCGTACTTGTAGGCGCACTGTCCGGCATCTGACCCTCGAACCCAAGATGAACTCGCACTAGATAGAAGTTCACCCACCCAATTTTGGTGATAGCAAACAACTTACCAAGTCCTTAATCATTCACTAGGAAGTCGATATTCCGGTACAAAAAATATATTGGTTTTGGATTACAAAAGATCTACGGTTCACCTATAATACGGAAGACATACGGAATTGACAAAAATTAATAATAATGAAATAACACCTAATTACCGGATCAATTGAAACAAGTAAACGACATCCTAAGTTTTTTAAATTTATTTTTCTATATGATGTGTACAAAATCAATATGCTAAAAGCGATTACAGCAGGATCCTATATCCACAAACCATTACAATGTCATTAAAAAGTGACTTAACCTATACTTCAAATAGGCCAGCGAGAGCACGTGTGTCATTTATTTTAGGCCTAATTTTGAGCAGTTATTAGATATCTAAATGTAGGTGGCCTTATTATAGTCTTGTTATTTCTGAGCTTACATTTGAATCGTTCTTTTTGTACGAATGTGTGGGATAGATAAAGTGTTGGGAATAATAACCAGTCGAATGGTTCTCGGCCGGACTTTTGCTGGTGTTCACTTTTCGATAGTACTCAATGGATTCGCAATCGCAAGCTAGACGGGTTTCAGAACCGCTGCTCTCTAATTGGTGTTTAGGAACAACAATCAAACTTTCAGTTGATTTCGTTGGCGCACATTGACTATGACTTCGGCCGTACATTGAATAATGATGAGATACAGCATTTTGATGCTGGCCATGTTTTTCTTGTCCGTGTTGTTGGTATTCATGGTGGCTTTGTGAATTACGGGCACTGTGATTTCTGCCGTGACTTTTAGACCGACTTGATTGTTTTGCACTCGTATCTAAATAGCCGTATCCGAATCCGTAACCTCCGAAGGCTTTCGTGGTCAAATTATCCCACGACTTGGGTTTCACGTGCTGATGGGAGCTCTGATATTGTATTTTTGGCGATGATTTAGTTTCCGAACGGTCGTTGTAACAGAATAAGGTGTCGCTACTTAGAGATGTGCTGTAGCTGGAAGCAGAATTGTCGCACGGGACGTTAGCGGTGCTTGTTGCGTAGGACTGCAGGCTGCATTGACTAGCCTGTGTTGATTCTGTCGTCAAGTAACGGTAACGATTAGAGCAATGTCCGGAGGAACAAACTTTTTTAGATCGCGACTGTGAACAGTTATCTGGTTTTTGAGTGGACTTATCGACTTGTTGATATTTTTCTTTTCTTTTATGTTCTTTTGAACACTCTTTCTTGCGTTTTACTTTCTTTTTAGAATTAGGCACGCAGTGAGGATCACAGCAAGGACTGGCAAGATAGTAGTCGTCCAAGCTATTAGAGTCTTTATTATTGTAAACTGGTATACATGGAGCACAACCATACCCGTGACTATTTCGATGTGACTTCGCATGTTTTCCATTCGTAGATTTATATGTTTCGTTAGCCCGATGATCATCGCTAGAGTTTTTCATCACGAAATGTTGGCAGTCTCGCCTGTTTCTTGGTGAGCCTACAGTGATAACAAAACCGCCAGTTCGTATGCTAGGTTGGACTACACATGCTCCATATCGTGGGTCTAAATATTGATACATTAGCACGTTCGTTTGAGCAGATTTTGCGGAGGTTACATTTTCGCTTGATAATGTTGGTCTACAATATGCGTTGTTGATTGTGTCAGTAACGTTGTTCTCTTCATTGTCAGAAATTACATCTGACGGGGAGGACTTTTTCTTCTGTGAAGGCAAGCTGTGTGTTTTCCAGTTGGTATCAAAGAGTTGCCTCTCGCGAATATTGAGTTGATCAAGCTCGCGCATTTTTGATTGAATGGCTCGTTGGAGATTAATATATTTTAGATGTAGCTCGACCTTACGGACACAGTCTTCAAAAATGACGACCATTCGCATGCGTGAGTCGCAACCATTAATAGCATCGACTATGACCGCGTGATCGGCTCTCTCCACGTCGGTACCGTTGATTGAGATGATGACATCGCCCTCACGCATGCCTGCTGCTGCTGCTGGTCCTTCTGCTTCCACGTGGTCCACGTAAGTTATCACCTCAATTTCTTGTTCCTGTATAGCGATATATTATATAATGAAATTTACTATTAATACAATTTCACAGACTGTTACGAAATTGTAAACTAACGTCAGGAGATATGGTAAAATACAAAAGGGTACACACCCTCTTGTAGTGAATTCCGTAGCTTTGAAGAGTAAACCCGTAACTGCCATTTTTATTTTCCACAATTATGGTTCTTCTACGCCAGTCTTCTTCATTTTTGCCACCGGCTCTCTCCGATTTAATGGATTCTCTCACCTAAAACAGCATTTTGTTAAAATGTCAATATTATAGATGTTATAATCATATAAGACCAAACAATACATAACGAGCTGCACTTACTGAATTATCTAGCGAATCTTCTTTGCAATCGTTGCTGAGGTGTTTCTTTCCATTACTCATGCTGCTAGAACATCTCTCGTTTAGTTTTAGCGAACTCATGTCGCCTTTATGATCTACTATCTACCTTTTGACAGCTTCATTTACAAATCTTACAATAACACTAATGCCTCCCAAAAACTATTTTTAGGTTCATTATGGAAACACAAAGCTCGCGAGAAATATCTAGCGTACGAGAAATCATTAATTGGTGAGGCGCATGCGTGAATTCGGGGTTCGAACTTCGGACATGCGTGCAAGTTTGTAGGTGGCGTGGGTGAAAGGACGCAAGTAATTGTCCCCTGGTTCTGCAGTAAAGGCATGTCTACTAACTTCGCGCTCTATTTAAATCGATTGCGTATTTTTCTTCGTGCTGCTATTATGATGGCGAAGGAGGAGTTATTGCTAAATAAAAATATGTTGTAAGTTATTTTTATAATAAGGATACAAACTTATATGCGTTGCAAATATTTTTAATACTTTATTCGTGAAAGCTTTGAAATACATTGAATACATTTTCAACACAATTAGGTACAGAATTCTAATTGTCAACCTATGGTAATATCTAGTAATAAGTTACCAAGTCCATATAGACGAACTTTTATTTGTAACTGAAATGATTAGATAATTATGGGAACTTTTGATCAAAGCGCGTGAACAAGAGTGTTGATTTTGGAATAATGGACAACGGAAGTGTTAGGTATTGGCACCGGTATTTCAGACAAGTTATTGTTTAAGGTAAGCAGAGGTGGTATGCCAATGGATTGCACGCCAGCCTCCTCGGGAATTACAGCGGAACCCTCAACGACTTTAATTGGAGTCTTGCCTTCTGTAGACACATCTCGCTTCATTATCAGAGATCTCTTGAATAGTCTCTCCATTAACATAGGACGGTTATTGAAATCATTATCGACGGCCGCGCCGTTATAATTTTCTAGATCTTCTTCTGCATCGGATGTAATTTGCCTCGTAGCTCTGGTCTCCTTAGGATTTTCTAAAACAACCCGCGGATGATTGATTATTAGGTGTCACAAAATGGAAATGAAAAAATTGCCTAATGCTGACAGTAAACTTATATCATAAGTGATATGATTAAATAAGTTAACAATGCTTAACCGTCAATTCCATCGATGCTACACTCTTTGTTGAAGCTTCCGACTGATTTACCTTTACGGGTAATATCTAACTACAATTGATTTAAAGTTTCAAGCCTTGTTTAAAAACTTGGTTTATAATAGTTATTTATTATGGAAGGCTGCAAAGTTGTTGTTTCACGCGAGTGCTTGTATTGGAACTTAGCAAGCGAAGGTTACGATGATACGATTGACGATATGAGCGAAGTGAGTGATTCAGAAATAGAATCCTGAGCGTAGCGAGGGTTTTAAGGCACGAGATGCAAAACAACTTAGCTGCCGAGGGAAACCACACAAATTTTCACCTCACTATAGCGAGGAAAATGGTAAATCAAAGAAAAGCAGTTGAACTATAACAAATCACAGCTACGGCTAAAAAGTCGTTGAAACCAAATACAAAAGGCATGACAACAAGCACATAGAAAAATTCGTGAAGTCCGTTGGTGCGGTCCGTGGCTTACTTGGTATAGCGTCTGCCACAGTATGTTTAAAACGTCGGTTCGAACCCGGCCGGGTCGAAGGAAATTTTTTCTGAGTGTTCGATGTTTGTATTAATAATTAGAACAAATCAGTTTTAATAAACAAAATTAGTCGTCGTTGTCAATTTCATGTCAGCAATAATGAGAATAAAACACACCAACAGATTTTTATTACCTAAATAATGTACAACAAATCGCGTACGTAGTTGTTTATTTTATCATCGAAAGAAAAAGTTAGATGCACTACAGTGCATTGTCAAGTTCGAATTTCCAAATCCTTTTGCTAAACTCAAACTAGGTTGAGACGTTAAGGTTATATAGCTAGAAAATTATAACAATGGTACCCGTGAATATAAAGTAAAGTGGTACTTGGTACTTGGTGCAACGGGCTGATATTCGCAACTCGACGACAAAGCGCCTATTTTGCGTGTTAAAGTAAAGTGTTACATGTACTTACAAGTAACAGTAGTATTATAAACTTACATATGAATAAACACGTTATCCTCATTTTGGGTTCACCTTATCAGGATGAAAAGTAGAAGCTAAATACGAGAATTTCTTTCATTGAGACTCTTAAAGTAAAAGAATTCTACCTGCGTTAGCCGCCTGAAGGGGAGACAGGTGGCTTAGAGTGGTCCACGTTGCGTGAGAATTGTCAACTGAATCATTACCAACGTCCAAGGTTGGTGCAACCCCTACAAGCCTCTGTGCTGTGATATTAGTCAGCAATGGTGTAGGAATATTGCTCAAATCTATATTGGATCCATTCGTGTGATACAATGTTAGAACTTCTTGATTGCCTCTGCAATATAGAGAAAAGACTTACTTTTGAGCTTTTAGCGCGTAGATTTATTACTACTAATAGTAGATAATCGTTTTTTCTTTTTACTCACGAGCTGTTGGTGTAAGTATCATCGCTCTTGTTAGTAAGAATTCCGACTTGGTACACCATCGCGTTAATGACGTACCTGAGGCCAAATAAAACAAATATACCTCTTCGATTTTTTTTTCTGTACCTATATTATTGGATTATAAGGAAAGCAAAAATTCGAAGATTCAAGTTTTGTGATAAGTGTTAGAATAAATAATTTTACATTAGGAAATAGTACTTAATTTCGGAAATGAAACTACTTTTTGGATATATAATTGTGCATATTTGTTTTTTTCTTCAAACAATATTCATAATCTCATACCTAAATAAACGATTTTATACCTTTAAAAAAAAACAAATATACACGATTTTATACCTTCAAGAAAGAACTTACGCAATTTTAGATAGGTACGAGAAAAATAGTTTCATATCCAATGTACACCAATGTATTCCTAATGAATTCTTTGAAGCTTTGAATGTTGTTAGATTGAAATTTAATTAAAAATATTTTTAAATTAATGTGATATTTGTTCTAATTATGTTTCACTTGTAAGCCAACGATACATAGGTGTCTGGGGAGGCGCGTCAAAGACAAAATTTATAGAGCTTGAGAGAGCACACCGAGCTTTGATTAAAGTCATGTATTTAAAAAAAATGGACTATTCAACAGAAAATATTTATATCTTAAGTAATATACTATCCGTCAGAAAACTATATATATTGCAGATTGTTCTTAAAATGCATAAGACATTACCATATGACAGTAAAATAGAAAATAAAAGAAGGAGGGATTATGTAGTACAGGTTCCTACAACTAAGACAACGTTTGCCGCTATGCAGTTCAATAGACGCTCATCATATCTATATAATAAAATTAACAAAGAATTAAATATATTTAATAAAAACTATTATGAATGCAAAAACCGATTATATAAGTGGTTGAAATTACTTAATTACGAGGAAACAGAGAATCTTCTGAGATCCATACAATAGTTATTTCCTAAAATACATCTATATACATTAACACACATACATGTCCTATACACATACATACATACACATTTGATCACTTTTACTTTTAACTATATATTCACACATTAAACATTAATTACACCCATACAACTCAAAATATCTAAGTATACTAATTAAATTGGCACTGTATCCCTTTACACATAATAAATATTAAACTACATAAATATTAAATTTTTGTTTACTTTAGCTTAGCTTAGTTAAAAATCAATAGTCCAATTAATTTGAGTTTTTGTAATATTTAAATATTTTACGTACATTTTAGATTAATTTATATATTAGAAAGCTATGGTTATAGAAGAGCGGAGTCTCCTACCACAGGCATTGCTTTGCTTAAAAGGAGACTCCTGATACTGTGATTGTAAAATGTAAACTTTTAATGAAATAAATTATTATTATTATTATTATTATACGTACGAATAGTTTCTTTTTCTTACTAACTTTTACCTAGTTTCTAGGGAATACCATGAATTATGTGTATCAGAGACTCGATGTTAATTCCAGGGCACTAGCCTGAATATCCTCAGCAGAACTAATTTAGAAACGTTGATTACCCAAATTGGTCTCCACATACAGTAGGTATATCTATTAACCGCTGGGCCACCGTGGCCATCACATAAAGTTATATGGACATATAAATCAATATACAATATGATTTTGTAGCTGTAACATAACGTCTGCCGCATGCCGAGCGAGATGTGGGCCAAGATAACCACGGAATGGAAGCCCCAAATCAAAAGAAGAAGCAGACGCGGTAGACCACGTCGGCGATGGCGAGATAACTTTAGACTCCTTTTTAAAGGACTGACCAGAAGTTGCCCAAGACCGAAGAACAATGTGAAAAGAGGGGGGAAACCTTTGCCCAGCAGCGGGACAGAAGTGGCATATAATAAACCTAAACGCAGTATTTCGACAACGTTGTATACTTTAAAAATTTGAAAGAAATACAAGGCAATTTGCTTTTCCGTACGACGCCTCAAATAATAATATATTTTCTTTCTTTATTTTTATAAGAAATAAGTGCTCATTTGACCTCCATCTCACCTCATGGAAAGTGATGATGCGGTTGACGATGTAGCATGCACACCTAAATAATGCCTATTCACTCTCGCCTTGAAGAGGTCCAAGATATAGCGTTCGGGGAATAAGTCTGCAGGTAGGGAATTCCACTCTCTAGCCTCTCGTCATATAAACGTGGAACCGAAAAGCTTCGTGTGAATCCTGGGAATATCCACAACATAGGGGTGGAATCCCAGCCCACGTCTACTCCCACGATGGTGGAAAGGGGAAGGCGGAATGAAATTATGCAATTCCATCGCACACTCTCCGTGATAGGGATATCCTGTAGAACACCGATATGCAGGCAACTTTACAGCGGTGTTCTCTTTGAGTTAATAAGAATAGAAAGCAAAGAATTTAAATTACTTACATATCTTTATTCGTATCAGTCGAATTGACCAAATGCCCTGGCTCCGTGTTGTCTGATGCTCCTACTGCGATCCATGGGGAGAGTGTGAATAATAATACCTGTGGAAAAATCTTCTTATAATATTCTTTTACAAAGTAAAGTATTAAAGTGAGGTGAAAAATTTTCAAACAGATCCTATTACCAATAATTTCATGTTGGCAGATATAGTAAATGATCTAGAAATACCACGCGCGGATTATTTAAACTACACAGAAATTAGCATACCTATGATATTACCTTTGTTATCTAATTAACGATAAATCATCACATAGTTAGTGATGTATTATCGAGAATCGGGTGGAATTATCTGTCTGAGAAAATGAAGAGTAATGTCGGCGTTACCGTAGTTTGGTGTTGCATTTACATAGCATGTATGTACCACTTACTACAAAACAAGTCATACACTACGTTATAAGTATAAGATACAGCCATCTCTAGTCACATCATATATATTCTTGTGGGGTAGGCGGAGATTACACATCTACACTTGCTAATGTCCTGGCTATCTTTGCTAATCCAAATTTGATGACTAGATTGTTCAGTCACAATCAATGTCATTTATTCAAAGTAGTAGGAGTAGAGCTCCTTGCGAAAGAGGTCATCCAGGGAAGTACTGCTGCATTACCTATTTCTACCGCCAAACGGTAATGTCAGCATTATTGCGTTCCGGTTTTGAAGGGTAAGGGCTTAGACTATGGAAACCATCCTCTAAGGGTAAGGGTGCTGGTGAAATTACAGCTTAGACTATTCCTTTATTTTTTTCCATCCTCTTCTTCTTCTTCTTTTAAATGTTATGGCTCCATTGAAATAATCAATGATTTTGCCAATGTCAAGTAAAAATAACTATGTACGGTAGTTTAATATTATAATAAAAATTATACAAAAAAATGGCGATTGCGCCAATGTCCTCATTTCCCTTCAAAACGAATAAATCTTTCGCCTTTTTCCATCCTCTAAGAATTACAGGCATATGGCACTTGTCACCTTATGTCCCAGGATGACAGGAATAGGATTGTTCGTCCCGTCCCTTGGTAATGTAAAAAAAAAGTATAAATACCTATTAAATACTTAAGCGATGAAGCGGTATTTTCGCACGATCAGAGGAAGTACGGAAAGTCAGTCAATCACATAGATTTAGTCAATCAGGTATAGAACTATATAGAAAAGTTATTTTCAATATGACTGTCACACAATGTTTTAATGATTTTCGTTCTTGGTTGTGATATATTATTATATTACATACCAGTAGACTCAAACGTGCCAGCCCCTCTATTTCTTCCACTATCAACTTTAAACAATATTGAAAAACAGTTTCTTAGTAGCAATGCCTACAATGTATTTTAAAACCAGCTTCAGTTTAGCAACTACGTATTTATGTACGCACAAATGGGCAGGTACTAAAAGGTAATCACCTTCACTTGCGTTCTAGTTCAACGTAATACATACATACCTAATCAGAACTATGATTTTATGTAACCAAGCGGGTATACATATTACACAATCTCACTCATCAAAATTCTCAAAAGTGAGTAGGTGGGTGAACAGCGTCTTATGAGTGTAGTATCTTTCATATTCTGTTCACACAGCACATGCGTTCTTTAAATGTGTTTTACGATTATCTAAATATCGTTGCCGATGACATCTTTATCTGACGATTGTTAAGATTCAGGTGTGTCTCAGTGAGAAGCTGGGCGGCGGCGGACGTTTTGCTAGCCTGTGTAACTGTTCTCGAAATGATAGTTTTAAGAAGATAACGCGAGTCTCCGTTAAATAGGTCATACTTTATACTTACATACTTGCGAACTGTGTGCCTTTTGTACGGGCAGGCTTGGCAATGAGTGCGACCAATAAAGCTATGATCATCGCGGGCATCGCTACAATGGTAAGTAAAATATATTTTTGCCTAAAATGCGACTGCAAAAATATGCTATTTTTATTTATATAAATATTTTATATTTACGTTTTCTCTATATTTAGCTAGTCGGAAATCTGACGCTATTTGGAATAAAATTGTTGTATACTTACATACGCATGTATTTTTCTGTAATATTATGGTGTAATTTCGATACAGCGAATACGGAAGATCTTGTAGATCTTATCTTCTTATAGATCTCTTAATACTTACAGTGCGGTTAATTTTGTTGGCTCGATACTATTCTATTTCAATCATGTAAGGAAATACGAGTAATGCTATCATTTTTACACAACATAATTTCGTATTTTATGCAGCTAACTTCAAGACATTTTGTAAATTTTGTCCCTCCAAATGGTCGCCTTACTTCTCAAACTCTTATCTCAAAGCATTAAGTAATTGAAATGGATTGTGTATACAAATTTTTCAGGCTGATTTCACATTATCTTTCCTTCATATTCACTCACTGGCTTTTACCTAGTCTTAAAGTAATGCATTCGAATCAACACCCTTGATAAGAAATTTATAATAAATAAAAAGTTTTGCCATCTCCTGAATAATCACTCTTTTTATGATACGAGTTTGAGAGAGTAAAGCATTGAAATTAAGAATCCTGTAAGTATAAAACAATCTTAAATAAATTTCAATGTGAGTACCATAGTACCTATATTTATATTGGTAATGTTATGAAATTAATAATGTTATAACTGAAATACTAGGTATCTGGGTACCAATATCACTAATACATTAGAACTATTATTCTACTAATAATAATGCCTACCTATTTGTAATAATACAGTTGAACTAAAAACAGTTGCGCATACGTATTTTAAATAAATTTTTGTATCTATTAAGTAGAGATTTAGAAAAAAGTGAAAGAAATGCCGTGCGCTTGCATTTTAAACATTTTGCTTTTACTTTATCTTCATTGCGAAGCGAAATTTTAGCGAACTTTCTATATAACTACATTATAAATGTGGTTCATATTATTTTTAACAGCGCGATCATTTAATTTAGTCACTATCAGTGACCTAAAACACACTCGGATATAGAACGTATTGTGTAGAGAAATGTCAGTTACTTTATCAGTTTTGTTAAGAGTTTAGACGCCTGATAAGTAAGACGAATTGTTGGGATCACACGATGTGTATATTGTTATTATTTGAAATAAAGAATACCTTCCCTACATATTAAATAATAGTTGCGAACAGTCATCCGCATCCATCGTCAGTGCCCTTGATTCTAAATCACCACATCTTACAATTTGTGCTCTGTTTCTGACTAACTCATTATAACAAAGCAAAGTTGTAAACTCAGATATATCAGAATGTATGTTTTGCTCTATATTTTACGCGCCAGTACACTTATACGAAAATTTAGGACTTCCTTTAAAATTCGTTTTTGTTTATTTTGGGTAGTATAACTTTCCATCAAATTAAATTTTCTATGCAACGATATCTATGTACTAGCGTACTAGATGCGGCGTTCCATACACACTCTGAGTTTACGATGTGTTGTGAAGACACAATACTTCAATATCACAGCTTAATAAGCAACAGTGTTATGATTACACAATAACAGAGTAGGGATAATATTATATGAATAACAGTTACTATGGTTACCATACATAAATTTAAAAAATATAAAAAAAGACTAGGCGGCATGGTCTAAAGATCTTTACATTTTCTCAAGGAAATACATAACATAACATCAACAATTTCAACAACTCGACTGTATTTTTTTCTTTTACTTTATTTGTTTTTCTTTTTAGTAATATAATAATTATAAATAGTAAATGGAAAGCCCCTGCGTTAAAGCAAAATGAAATGTGTTGTGCAATTAATAGCGACTTTGCCAGGGGCTTTACGTTAATTTCCCAACTATGGATAAATATCATTGAGTAAACACTCAATATTATCTGCCTGCCTAGGTCATTCCCAATAGACTGTCACATGGTCACGTCTAACCACGATACTACGGTACAGATACTCTTTGACAAAATTCAACACTAAAACAAAACATTATCACTATTGATAATGTTTTGTTTGGAACATGTAGTTGCTGAGAATGTTCTTGTCTATAGACTGAAGACGTTGTCCTTGGGAGGTTTTTGGTATCCATTTTTCTCCGCGTTTGAATCTCGCACTTTCTGCATGGACCTGATGTGGTTGGTGTAATTGGTTGAAAACGGGTATATTTAGTATTATAATTATACTTAGATGTCATAGCGGATTGAATCTGAATCTGATCTCTTTATAATAGTCGATGGTGGTAGAAATTCTCTGCTGCAGGCTTATTCCCCGAACGCTATAACATGGGCCTTTCCAAGGCAGGAGTGAATAGGCATTATTCAGATGCTAAATCGTCGACCTCATTGTCGCTTTCCATTAGATAACATGGAGGTCAAATGCGCATTTTATTTTTAATCAAAGAAATAATATAAAATGTGGTAGTCGAAAAAGATCAAATTTCACAACATGCCGATTGCGGTATCCTCTATAAATACGACTGATAACTTTAAGATTCGCTGTATGGTTAGATGATAAATACTTTCTTAATTGCGTGTGAAAATGTCTAGGTTCATTAGTGGACGGTAAAGTCAAATGAGACGTGGATGAATGTTTTAATATCTTACATCCTAATGTAGGTAACGAATGCCATTTTCTATTTTTTAGGTACGAATAGGTAAGTACCTACTAATTATTTTTTGACGCTTTTTAGTTGTAGCCTTTAAAATCCTCTCCTTAGAGCCTTATGCCCGATAGCGGAAGGGATGAGGGTTACAGTTATAGCATTATTTATCTGTCTTCCGACCCGGGAATTCACGGAGTAGCGTATCTTATCGTACTTTACATAGCAATGTACGGTACAAATTGTCACACGCTGTGTCACGAATGAGTCCACACCTTACGAAACTTATTATCTGTGCAATCCATTGGAATTCGTTTACTTCCGATTGATCTAAACCGCTATTTTACGTGAAGAACATATACTGTAGGTACTCGTCAAAAGTATGTGGATGAATTAAACTAAATGCACTCGGAACTATGGAATGTTCTGTTAAAGATTTATAAATTAGATATATAGGATCGAATAAGAGGTAATAGAATAAACTGAGCACAGTTAAAGCAATGTGTGTTTTATATTCAGTGACAACACAAGTTACACGGTTACTATGGAAACGATCTTTATGGTAGGCACAAAACACAATAAAGGCTTCATGCCTTAACATCCAGCCCTGTTTATGATGCCTGCAAGGTTGCAAAGCTCTAGGATCCTGGATCCATATAAGGGTTTCGTCAAAATATCAGCTAGTTGCCGAACTGCCGGTACTATGCTCACTTCGATGATGCCATCTGTTACACATTCTCGTATAAAGAAAGATCTTATTTTTATGTGCTTCGTTCTTTGATGAAATTCATACGGCGGATTCTTAGCTAGCCTAATTGCAGACTCATTGTCAATACATAGGCTCGTGAGACATCCTCATCTGTGATATCTTTTATAATCCGCAGCTACAATTTCTGCTTCTGTGGAGGAAATAGCCACGGTAGATTGCCGCTTACTCTGCTTAGATATTGGTGCTCCAGCAAACAAACATAATATGCCAGTAGTGGAGCGTCCTGTATCATGATCACCTTCGTGATCAGCGTCGCTATAACATTCTAAGCCAAGGGCTTTGTCATTGCTGTAAATAATTCTTTTCTCTAAGGTGCCTTTCAAGTAGCGTAATATTCGCTTTACATTTAGGACATGCTCTTTTGAGGAATTATCAAGATTTCGTGATACGACACTTACAGTATATGCAATATCTGGTCTTGTATCTCTCATGAGGTAAGCTAATGCTCCCATTACTTGATGATAAGGGAAGGTCAAAAAATTATCTTGATCTTTTTAGGCTTTTTCTTTGTTAAACTTTACGATAGCAACAGCTTTACAATTCTCCACGCCGAATCTTTCTAGAACGCGTTTAGTGTATGCTCTTTGATGAAGCCAAATGGAACCATTTGATTTCTTTTCTATTTCCATTCCCAGAAAATAGTTTGCTGGTTTGCTTGTAAGTTTAAAACGTTTTTCCAGCTCTTCTAGAAACATTTTCGCTTTCTTTTCACTTGTTGAAGCGAAAAGACCGTCGTCAACGTATAGGGCTAAAACAATTTAAGTTTTACCTCTCTTTCTAATAAACAGACAGGGATCCGCTGTACTCTGTTTAAATCTAATTGCTATAATGTAGTCGGTAATACGTCGATTCCAACAGTGGGGTGCCTGCTTCAGTCCATACAGGCTCTTTTTCAACTTGAACACAAGCTTACTATCAGTAGTGTTCCCTTCTGGAGGCTTCATATAAATTTCCTCAATCAACTTTCCATATACGAAGACAGTTGAAATGTCGAATTGGGCCAGAGACATATTTTCCTTAGCAGCAATTCCTATTATCTACTTTCTACCTCTTGTCCAAAGTACCATCAGGTTTAGTTTTGATTTTGAATATCCATTTGCAAGGAATGGCTTTCAACGATCTGCTCTAGACATAGTTTCTTTGAAAGTTTTAGGATCGTCAACAAGTGCACATGATGTCATGTTGCAGATAAAATCTTCGTACCGACTTGGAGGTTTGAGGGTAGTCCTATCTCTAAGAGTCATTCGAGACGACTGTTCAATTTCATTTTCAGAAAGTTCACCGACATCATTATGTACGTCTTCTTCAATTTCAGGCTCTATAGTTACATGGGACTGCTCTGATTCCTAGATATCTATTTGACCCATTTGATCTTGCTCTTGTTGAACATAAACTTCTCTCTCGAACGATCCATTGTACTGTAATGATGAAGGCAGCGGCTCATCTTCAGATTCTCGCCTGTCTGGAGCATCATTCTGCTGTACAATATTTTCTTTGGGCGTCTCTTGTTGGAGATCTGGTAGCTCACTTTGAAATGTTACATTGATTCGAGTTGATGGTGAAGGAATGTCTTTCTCGTCTCTCAATCCTAGTAACAGTGTCTCTTCAAACGTTACATCTCTAGATCTGATCAACTTATAATTGACTTTATCCCAATTCCTATAGCCTTCATCTCCATCAAAACCAATTAATATTCCTTTCTGAGCTTCTTTGTCAAGCTTCTTGCGACTTATTTT